GTCTCCTCTACAGCAGTGTCACACGCATCGCTCACAGATACCGTGCTGTCGATGCAGAACTATTTTAAAGTAAATTACAGACACTAAAACAATGCTCTGTAAACGTTTGTTGAATGAATGGATGAATGGTTGAATGAAGCGGTTAGAATTCTGGGGGTTGCAAGTGACAGAAATGCTTTCAACCTTCCTAAATCCGTGAGCAATAGGAGGATGGTTGTCACAAGGATGGTACATGTTTGGGGGCGGCGCAGGGGGTCTGTCACAGAACCCAAGGGTGGGAAGCAGCTTGGCCTAAGATTCTGTCCCCACCCCAAGATCATCTGCGTGTTCTTCCCCCTCTCTTTGCCACTGGGGATCACCGGGCCTCTGTGACCCCGGGGGAAGTGGGGCTGCCCTCAAAGACCCACTGGCAGAACTTGACTTTGCGAGTCCAGATTCCCCAGGTGGGGGTGGTAGACTCAGTTTCCCTGCAGGGCAAGTGTCTGCTCAGTTCGTTCCTTTATTCCTTCTTCACTAGCTGCAGACAGCGGTGCTGGGAGCCAGCCTTGGAAGCCTGGGGTGGAGGGGTTCTCTAAGAAGGGAGGTCTTTTCTGAGCAGGGCGGACACCGCTCCCCCGGCAGGTTCCCTGGTGGCTGGGGGGTGTGCGTGTTGACAGGGGAAGAAGGGGTATGGGGGGAGGCTGCAGCCCCCAGCCCGGAGCCTCTTACCGCCTTCTCTCCCTGCCCCTTCCCCACTCAGAGAAGATCTTCTCGGACGTGATTCCCAAGTGTGAGAAGTGTCAGGGCGTGGTGAAGCCTGGTGAGCCTTCGGGCCAGGGACCTGTGGGGTGGGCTTGGGTGGGGACCCCCTCCCTCTCACTGACCCCTTCCCAAAGGCCATGCTTCCCCCCGACCTCTGGCCCCCTCTGTCTCCCGGACCAGTGCCCCAAATCTGTCCTGGGGAGAGCAGGGTTCTGTCCCCCTGGCCGGTCCCCTCTGCTCCCTGACTCCCACCCCAGCCCTCGGGTCAGCCTCTGCTCCTGCCTGTTCTCTGTCTCCCCCTGTCACTGTCGCGTTCCGGTTCTCTGTCGGTCCGTCTGTCTCCGCCTCAGACATCATATTTTTCGGCGAGAACCTCCCAGCGCGTTTCTTCTCCTGCATGCAGTCAGTAAGTGCTGGCGGAGGGCAGGGCGGCCCAGGGCAGGGAGGGGAAGGCGGCTCGGCCTGGGCAGAGGGTCCCGGGGCGCTCACTGGCCGCTGTCCCCATAGGACTTCCAGAAGGCGGACCTCCTCATCGTCATGGGCACCTCCCTGCAGGTGCAGCCCTTCGCGTCCCTCATCGGCAAGTAGGTCGGGTCGGGCTGTGGGGACGGCGGGGCGCTGGGCGAGCCAGGGAGGGCGCCGCCCACTCAGCTGGCCGTCCCGCAGGGCGCCCCTCTCCACCCCGCGCCTGCTCATCAACAAGGAGAAGACCGGCCAGGTGAGCCCCACTCCCACCGGGTCCTCCCTGCCCTCCCGCCAGCTTCCTGGGGAACTGGGGGGCAGGCCTCAGAGAGAGTCCCCACTGGAGATGCCCAGCGCTCCTCAGCTCAGACCCAGGGATTCTAGAATCCAGGAGGGTCAGGGTCCAGGCTGCCCTGACTCTCCAGCCTGGGTCGTTCAGGACCCTTTCGAGCGAGTGAATTCCAACTCCGAGCGGCCGTAGCCAAAGAAGGAATGTCTGTCGTGCTTCCTGGGACGGAGGAGTGAGGGCTCCTCAGACAGGGGCTCAGCTGGACCCAGGGCCTCCCCGGTGCCGTCGGGGGTCTGCCCTCTCCCCCCTCAGCTCCTCGTCCGGGGGAGGGGGAGCGCCTGCTGGGGAGGGCTGTTCCCCTGGAGGGGAAACAGGCCGTGACGCCACACAGGCAAAAACGTAGCATGGGCCAGACGCGTCCCCAGCATTTACATGGGGTAACTCGCCGACACCGCAGCCCTTTCAGGGGGTCCCTGATTAGCCCCATTCTGCAGATGAGGAGACTGAGGCACAGAGACGCCAAAGTCACTTGACCAAAGTCACAAAGCTGGGATACAAACCCAGGTCACCCGGCTCCAGGGTCTGTGCTCTTAGCTCTCTTCCCACCCCCACCCTGCCGCTCCCTCCCCCACAGAGGGACCCTTTCCTGGGAATGATGCTGGGCCTGGGAGGCAGCATGGACTTCGACTCCAAGAAGGCCTACAGGTGAGGCCTGGGCCTGGGGCGAGGTGGGAGGGAGGGAGGGTGCAAAGGCACAGCTGGCAGGGGCCTCAGACAAGCTCTGACTCTCCTGCCGCACTGCAGGGACGTGGCCTGGCTGGGTGACTGTGACCAGGGCTGCCTGGCCCTCGCCGACCTCCTGGGATGGAAGGTGAGGAGCTGGGCGACCCCGGCCTATCCCGAGCCCAGTCCCTGGACCCTCCTTCCGCCCCTTGGGTCCTCTGTATGGTGACCTCTGACTTCTGTGAACCTTGCCCCCGCAGAAGGAGCTGGAAGACCTTGTTCGGAAGGAGCATGCCAGAATAGATGCCCAGTCAGGGTCAGGGGCCCCCAACCCCACCAGTTCGACTTCCCAGAGGAAGTCCCCACCGCCTGCCCAGGAGGCAGCCAGGGCCACCACAGAAGGGGAGAAACCCCAGTGACAGCTGTACCTCCCAGGAAGGACACCAGCTCCTCGGGGACAGCTGAGCCCCCACCAACCCTGGCCCCCCCCCCCCCGCTAACCTGCAGCTCTTGTCTGGGGCGCTCAGAACATCCCCCAATCTCTTAACCACTTCCTCCCAAAACTGGGGTCCCAGCTGCCCCCACCCAACCGTCGCCAGAATCTAACATCTAGACGCCAAGTCTTGAGCAACCGCCTCTAACAGCCCACGGTCTCTAACTACTCCAGGGGTCAGGAGAAACCACACTAATTTCTAACTGTCCCCGGGGGACCCCAAAACGTCTAACTATCCCAGGACAGGGAACTGAGAGCCCCCCACTCTCGCTACTACTCCCAGGGCCTCTGGCCAAATGTACCAAACCTAACCTTCCCCAGGGGTGGGGGGCCCCCCACGAGTAACTCATGCCCAGCGGGGAGGGGCGGGTCTGAGCCTGAAGAGCTCCCTAGTCTCTGCCTTCAACTCCGAGTGGGTGCTGGGCCCCCTCCACTTGGGACCCACTTCCCACATGGGGAGGCCAGAAGACATCGCTTATTGGAGACAAATTAAAAAGAAAAACCACTAACTGGCGTCTGTTCCTTTCTGTGCGCAGCCGGGGACGCAGCTGGAGGGAGGGGGCTAGATCTTGGGCCACTGAGTAAACCAGCACATCTCGGGCCCTTAGGAGAAACTGGAGGGAAGGGTGGTGGAAGGGGACCCCAGGGGGTGTGTGGGGCCTCGTGGCTCTGAGCCCTGGCCCCTCAGCCTGCCAGGGTCCCTCCCTCCAAAGCCCAGTCTCTTAAGGCCTGAGCCCCCGGAAAGAGAGAGGAAGGTTGACTTCGGATACCCCCAGCCCCGCCTCTTCCCCCTGCTCGCCCAGCTTCCTCTCTACGTGGAACACTTTCACTTCCTGCTACTCCAGGCCTCCCCTCCGAGAACAGGTAGGGCCCCCAGGGACCGAGCATTGGGCACACCCGGCCCCCCACCCCCATGGTACCAGGCAGCTGCCGCCCATCCAGCCCTGCCCGGCTCTACCCACATCCTCCTCCCCTCCCTCGGGACCCAGGAGGGCATGTGCCTCTCTCTCCCTGCTCCCCCTTCCTGCTCTCCTCCCCTGCCCTCCCACCCACCCCACCTGAGACAGGGCACCTGCCCCTGCCCTCCTAACGCTCTGGGTTTCTGGCCAGCAGGCTGATGTATTGGTTTAGCTGCTTATTATCCACGTGCTACACCCACCCAGGCCAGAATGGAAGGCCCTGGGGGGCAGAAGCTGTGCTGTCCTTCGCCCTCTCCCCAGGGCCCAGGTGATAACCTGTCGTGGGGCTCTGTACCTGGTCCAAAGCTGGGTCTGATGGACGGATAGGTAGAGGGACAAGTGTGTGATAAAGAACGAAGAGTACAATGTTCATGGTAGAATCTAGATCGCGGGCATACGAATGTTTCCTGTATAGTTCTTCCAGCTTTTCTGTGCATTTGAAAAATTTCATAATAAAATATTGGAGGAAAAGATTCAAGGGCCCCTCCTTGGCGTGGGAAGGGAGGAAGAAGGGATGTTGCCCTATATTTGGCAAATATCTGAGTGCTAGATGGCGTGGTGGCTCACGCCTGTAATCCCAGCATTTTGGGAGGCCAAGGTGGGAGGACTGCTCGAGGCTAGAAGTTTGAGACCAGCCTGGGCAACATAGTGAGACCCTGTCTCTACAGGAAAAAAAAAAAAATGCACGGAATGCCTACCGTGGGCCAAGAGCTTTTCCAGGCACCGGGTTCGGCAAGAGCTGTTACTCAGCTGGTTCCGTTCATATGGCCTCACTGCTTGTTAAAATCATGAAATATTCCCTGCCACTGTAAATAGCTCTTGTTTTGAGTCCTCTCCCCCCACCCCAAGACACACTGGCCTCTCTCTTGGGGTCCCCAGATCTCCCCAGCATCTAGGATTAAAGAGTTAACCCATGGGACAGCAAGAGGCTCCATTCTGACTGGTCAGGGTCTCTGCCATATTGGTTATAAACATTCCGAATGTTACCTGCGGGTGGAGCAGCTGCGAGTCTTCCCCTCTTCCCTGCCAGAGGCCAGACCATGGCTGCCTGGCTTCCCGCCTCCTGACGATGGCCCAGCCGGAGGACAAGGCCTCTGCAGCCCCCTCTGAGGGGGAGAGGTGAGGGGTACTGGAGCGAGGTCCCCACCTGCCACCCCTGGATCCAGAAACCCCTTCCCTCCAGTGCCCACCCCGCCACGGGACCCTGAACCTCATCTCTGACCTTTGGCCCTGGGCTGCCCCTTCCTGCACCTTTGACCCCACCTCAGTGTCCAACCGACCTCTGACCTCCTGGACCCTGCCCATCCCAGGCCAGTCCCATCACAGGTGAATGGAGCAGGCGACACCCCTCTAGGGGTCCTCAGCACCCCAGAGTCACTTCTTCGCCTATGGAGGACACGGGGGGTGTGGCAGGTCCCAGAGCTGGGTGCCCAAGATGCAGAGGCCCTCGTGGAGCTGTGGCCACCAGGGGTGAGTCATCACAGCTGGGGACTCGTTCTGACACTGCCATGACATCCTGTATCAGTCAGGACCCTGGCTGGTTACTAGGGACAAACACGACACAAAATGGGCAAACCAAAAAGGCTAATTATCATTCACAGGACTGAAAAACACAGAAATAAAAGTGGTTTCAGGAAGGTCTGGATCCTGAGCTTCAAACAACTTAGGAATCCTCTTCATCCCGTTTCCTGGCTTTGCTTTCAACTGTGGGGAATTTGGGATATTTTGGGCTACAAGTAACAAACACCTGTTCCGTAGTGACTTAAACAAACAGGCATTTATCTACCATAACCAGAAAGGCGGCTGCTGGCTCTAGCTCCGCGGCTGTGTGCCACCAAGACCAGCTTCCCCATCGTTCTCTTGCACGTCCTTCACGGCTGCCCCGGGGCTGCCCAGGTCCAAGTGCGTGTGTGCGTTCCAGGCAGGAAGAAAGGAGGCACCCACCAGTTGCATCTGTGTCTTCTACCAGGAGATGGAAAAGCCTTCACAGTTAATTCAGAATATATAGATGGGGCCAGGATAGCAATATTTTTAAAAGCTCCCTTGGGAGTTATACAGCCAGAGCTGAGAACCACTCCCTATATCAACCACTATTCATCGCTCCCGGCTGGGTTTAATGCCTGGAATAAGGAGTTCTGCAAGGAATCTGGGCTAGATCTGGAGAGGACAGCTAACAGGGTCTACCAGAGCTTCTTCCTCAGGAGAGCATTGTCCTTCTGGTAGCAAAAATGGTTGTCCCCAGCTCAGGGCGACATCCCACCAGCTTAGCAACACCACTGTGAAAAGAGACATGTTTCCAAAGGGCTCCAGCAAAAATCCTGTGGAAGACGTCCATTGGCTGAGCTTGGATCACATGTCCATTCCTGAACCAAACAGTGGGCAGAGAACACAGTCATCCTATTGGCTAGGTCAGGTCATGGTCCCACCCACAAGCACTGAGAGTAGGGAGAGGGTTTCCCCAAAGGAAATCTGGGGTGTGGAACCCAAAATAAGGGAAATGGATGCTAGGCAGGCAAAGGTGACAGACACCTGCACACACCTTCATCAAGCTGACCTTTGCCTCCACCCCCCAGAGTTTCCTGGTCACAGGACATGACCCCAGCCAGGTTCTGGTGTTGAGGACAGGACCTTTGCCAGGAGAAGTCAACAGCTACCAGATCCAGAAGTTTCCTGGAGGTGAGGCACCTCCCCCTGAGTTTCCAGTCCACAGTAAATTTATCAGCAAGAACTGTCAGCTTTATTTCCAAAATGTCTCCTGAATTTTCCCGATTCTGTCTGCCTCCGTCACCCTAGCCTGATCCACCATCACCTCTTGCCTAGACAACTGCGGTAGCCTCCTCTCTCTTCCCTGCTCCTGCCCTTTCCTTCTTGTGATCCACCCTGAGTACAGCACTTAGAGTGGGATTTTCAAACATCAGTTAGATGATATGCCCCAGTCACTTTCAATCACCCCATTGCATGCATAGCATTCAACATAATATATGCTGATCTTTATTTGTGTACTCAGTTATTTCCTGTCTGTCCTCCCCACAAAAAAGGTAAGCTACAGGAAGGCAGTGAACTTGTCTGCCTTTTAACAACTGTATTCCCAGTGCCTGGAAATGAATAAGTGCTCAATAAATATTTGCCTAATGAACGGATCCTATTTGGTGGCATAAGTGGGATCCAAGAGTAAAGACATAGGAAAAGATGGGGACCTCAAGGAGGGGTGAAACTCCCCTGTTCTGAAAGTCCCCTGGGTGGGGGTTACAAATGGGGAAGAGAGAGTCCCAGGGGAGAGAAGGCTGCCACCCACCAAGTTTTCTTTTTCATTCTTCCTTGTCCCCTCGCCCTAGGTGTGTCCCTGAAATCTTCCAACCTCCGTATGCCGGACCTGCCCCATCTCCTGGCCTTCCTATCAGCCAGCAGGTACAGGTCACCTATTAAAAGGGCTAAAGGGGACCCTTCCCTAAGACATTCCACCCACACTGTGGCTTCCACTTATCTATTCTCAGGGATGTTTTGCCCAGAACGCTGCTCTTGCCCCCTCCCACTCTAGGGCCCAGACATGAACGCACAGGTGAGGCGTGGTTCTCCGAAGGTGGGAGAGGCCAACTTGCCAGGCTCCTCGGTCCAGGGGAATGGGACTTGAGGGGGCTGGCGGGAGCTGGGGGCCTGGCAGTCCCTGAGAGAGCAGGGGATGGGGCCTGGATTCCTGTGTCCTAACACAGAAGGTTGGGGGAGGAGGGAACTGGGGGTGCTGGACTCCTGGGCCTCAGTGGCAAGGGGACTGGGGACCTGGACTTCTGGGTCTGAGTAAGGAGGGGCCTGGAGCCAAGCGTCAGCACCTCCGGCAACAAGGCTGGGGACTAAGTCTCCTGGTGCCCTGAAGGGACCAGGGCTGGTCCCTTGGCCACCTGGCACAACTTCTCACTTTTGCTGGCCCCAGATTCTCTGCAGGTTGGCAGGGTCCAACTGGACACCTCAAAGAGGGTGCTTTCTGTGGTCAACCAGCTCTACCTGGACACCCACAGAGGCTGGGGTACAGAGCAGACCCCCAAAGAAATGGAGCCAGAGACGGCCCAAGCACCTGAGCCAGGTCAGCTGGGAGAGGCCCTGGGTCCTGAGGGCTGAGGGAGCTGCTGCCCCTATTCCATGGGACCCAACCCGCTCCTCACATCAGCCCCCAGGAACGCCGCCCCTCACAGGGTCTCCTGGGTGGAAGGCCGGCTCAGCCTGGACGTGCACCATCCCAGCCCGGCTCTGGCCAGCTTGGTGGAGGATGAGGACGAGGACAATGACGACTACACAGATAAAGAGGAAGACCGCGAGGATGTGCTGACCGTTCACGTCCGAGCTCTGGCCAGGGCCCGCAGCAGCTACGTGGCCAGGCAATACCGCAGCCTTCGGGCGCGCCTCACCTCGGATTCCGCGGGTCCCCACCGGCCTGGGGACCCAGCCACCGAGCTGCTTCAGGATGTGCGGCACCTCCTCACTGACCTCCAGGATCACTTGGCAAAGGACCCCAACGTCAGGGCTGTCTTTGGGAGCAGGAGGCCTGGGGTGCCCCAGAAGGAGGAGGATCTGGGTAATGGGAGGACTGAAAGGGACCCCCACGGGTTCAGGGCGCCACCGCTTGGCCCTACACGTGTGTTCGCATCCAGCATCTTTCTCTCCATTGCCCTGAACACGTTTCTTTTTCCAATCACAGCCCTTTCCTACATACACCGCTGCTCGTTCTGTCTCACACGTGTGCAAGTTCACACCCAGGCTCCCTCTTCCCCACGTGTTCACACTCGTGTCTCCACTTGCTTGCAGGCGGCCTTCGGAAGCTAGGGAGGGGTGGCGATCGGCCACGGAGGGTCAGATTGGGGCCCTGCCCTCACCTGTTCCCCTTCCCCGCAGGCCCCGCGGTGGAGGCGGCCGTGTGCAGCGCGGTGCTGGCGCCCCTGAAGCCAGCCCTGTGGACGCGACTCCGCACGCTCCGCGTCCGGGAGCTGCGGCAACTGCGGCGGCGCCAAATAGCCCTGCGGGTGGGGGCGGGGCCTGAGGGGCAGAGCCCCGCCCCCGCCCTGCGAAGCCGCATCCACGCGCGCCTCGCTCACCTCCACGCCGCCTGCGCCCCGCGCCGCAAGGTGGCGCTCCTGCTGGCGGTGTGCAGTGATGTCTACGCGGGCCTGGCTCGGGGTGAAAACCAGGGTAAAGGAGGGGTCGGCGTCTACTTGAGTGGGGAGTGGCTTGAGGGTTGGGGGAGCGAGGTAGGCGGTGTCTATGCGCACGTCGAGGGAGAGGGCAGCATGCTCCAGGGGGAGGCGCCTACGCGGACCAGGAGATTCTGGTAGGAGGCGTCTGTAAGCGGGACAAGGTGGAGGGACAGCCAGCCCGCGTGGTCCTGGGGATCGGACGGAGGGTGTGTGCGCGCCCTGGTCCACCTCAGGACCTGTCCTCCCGCCTCCCCAGAACCCCTGGGGGCCGACGCCTTCCTGCCCGCGCTGACGGAGGAACTGATCTGGAGTCCCCACATTGGGGAGACGCAGCTGGACGTGGAGTTTCTCATGGAGCTCTTGGATCCGGACGAGCTGCGCGGAGAGGGTGAGCCCCCACCCCAGAACGCTGGGACCCAACAGGGGGCGTACCCAGGGTCGCCAGAGCCCCAGACAACAGCCTTCCTCGGCGGCAGGAGGGGAGGCAGGCGCGCTGCAGGGGGACTTCGGGCGATCAGGGAAGCCAAGAGGGCCACGCTGACCGCCCCTTCTTGCCCCCAGCCGGGTACTACCTGACCACGTGGTTTGGGGCGCTGCACCACATCGCACACTACCAGCCCGACGTGGGGCGCGCGCCCCAGGGGCTCAGCTCTGAGGCCCGCGCCTCCCTGCGCCAGTGGCACCGCAGGCGGACACTGCACCGACAGGACTGTCCCGGAGCCCAGGTGACCGCCCATCCAGCTGCAGATGGAGGGGAAGGTGGGACCTGTTGCCCTTCTGACCCAGCCTCCCCCTTCTCCCCACAGGCCGATCTGCCCTTTGAGGAGCCGTGGGCAGCAGGGACTGTGCCAGGGCCCGCTGACGATTAGGGGCCTCAA